CGCCGCCGCCGCCGCCGCGGCCCCCGGCGCGGGCGCCGCGGCCGCGGGCGCCGCGGGCCGCGGCGCCGGGCCCGCGGGCGGCTGGAGCAGCGGGTGGGGCTGCGGCGCCGCGCGGGGCGCCGGCGGCGGCGCGTGCGGGTGGGGCGCGAGGTGCGGGTGCTGGAGCAGCGGGTGCTGCTGCGGCGGCCGCGGCGGCGCGCCGTAGGGCCCCGGCGCGTAGGGCCGCGGCGGCGGCGCGCCGCCCGCGGCGCGCGGCGGCGGCGGCGGCGCGCGCCCCAGGGGCTGGCCGTGCTGCTGCTGGGGCAGCAGGGGCGGCTCGCTGAGCGCGCGGAAGTGCGTCGGCGGCGGCGGCCCGGAGCTCGCCGCCGCGCCGGGCGACGGGCCCGCGTAGCCGCGCCGCGGGTCGAAGGCCGCGCCCGGCGGGAGCTTCGTCGGGCTCGCCTGGTGCGCGGCGCGCAGGCGCTGCTGCTGCTCGTGGTGGAGCCGCGCGGCCGCGCCGTGCGCGCCGTGCTGCTGCGCCATCATCGCCGCGAGCATCGCCGGGTGCACGTGGCCGCCGTTGACGCGGACCATACCCGGGCTCTGGGCGAGCGCGCGGGCGAGGGCGGCCTGCTGCTGCTGCGCGAGGAAGCGCTGCTGCTGCTGCTGCTGCGCGACCTGCTGGGGCGTCGGCGCGGCCGCCTTGGGCGTCGCGGTCGGCGTCGGCGCCTCCGACGGGCCCGCGGCGCTGGCGCCGTCGGGCGGCGCGGGGATGGGGCCGCGGCCGGGCAGGTCGGCCTTGGCGACCTTCGCCGCGCCGGGGCCCCGGGGGCCCTTGCCGCCGGGCGCGCGCGGCGGCGCGCCGCCGCCGGGCGCGGACGCCGCGCGCCGCGCGGCCGCGGGCGGGCCCGGCGCGTCGCCGTCGACGTCCATGGCGCCGCTCGACGACGCCGTCGACGCCGCCGACGCCGTGCGCCGGTGCGTCTTGCGGCTCGAGCCGCCGGCCTCCGCCTCCTCGACCGCGGACACGTAGGGCCGCGCGTAGAGCACGCGCTCCTCGAATACGGGCTCGTCGCCGGACGGCGGCGCCTCGTCGGCGACGTCCATGGCGTCGCCGGCCGCCGGCGCCACGTCCAGGGACGCGAGGCCCGCGGAGACGACGACGACGCCGTCCTTGTCGCCGACGCGGATCGGCCGCTCCGGGTCCTCGCACTGCGCGTCGACGTTCCGGTTCGTCGCGGTGCCAAAGGGGCAGACGTGGTTCACCTTGACCTGGCCGCAGCGGCCGCACTTGTAGCGGCCCCGGTCCTTGTCGCCGTCGCCCTTGGCGTCGTCGCCCTTGCCGCCCTTGCCCTTGCCGCCCTTGCCCGCCGGCGCCTTCCGCGGCGCCGCCGCGCGCGGCGGCTTCGCCGCCGCGGCCCTGTCGTCCTTGGCGATGGCCGGCAGGATGGCCTTGCGGAAGGCCTCCGTCGTCATGGGCGACAGGCCGTCGCAGAGGCTGTCGTCCTCGCCGTAGGACGAGTTGGGCAGGTCGAGCGACGAGTTCGGGTCGATCGACGACGTCGCCGCGTCGAGGCTGTGGCTCGCGTTGCGCCGCGTCGCGCCCAGGTCCTCGTCGTCGTCGCCGTAGAAGGCCCCGGGCAGGTCCCCGAAGTTGCCCTTCTTCCGCCCGAGGCCCAGGCCCGGCGAGTCGCCGCCGCCGCCGCCGAACGACGTCGCGCAGTGCTCCATGACGCGCGCCCACTCGGGCGTCGACGGCTCCACGTCGAGCGCCATGATGGGGTCGTCGGCCAGCGACCACATGGGGAAGAGGTCCACGTCGTCCGTCGGGGCGGCGACGTGCACGGGCTCGGAATGGATGCGGCGGTGGCCGGGCCGCCCGGTCTGCTCCCGCCGCGACCGCTTGCGGCCCACCTGCTCGGGGCTCGACGCCATGAGCAGGCCGTGGCTCATCGACACGGACCGCCGGATGTCGGACTGGTCGTCGTTCATGGCGCCGGAGAACGCTTTTTCAGAGGGTTTCGCGAGAGCGCCGCCGCCGGCGCGCGCCCACGCCGCGCGGGTCGCCGCCGCGCGATGCGCGCGTCGCCGAGCGCTGGGGGCTCAGGCTGGGCGTGTGTTGGGCCGAGCTGCGCACCTCACCTCTTGAAAAAAAGTGTCGTCGTGTGCGAGCCGACTTGCCCGGTTTGCTTTCTCTCTTTTTTTTTTTAAGGCAAAGCAAGAGCCGCCCGGGATAAAAGTTGGGGTACCCTACGCCGGGTTCTTCGATCGCGCGCCCGGCACCCACCCACCCACCTCCTGGCCAATCAGGGACCTCCCTTTTCGTTAGTTGCCTTCAAGTTGCCGCTCGCAAAATCGCCACAACGCGCGCGCGATTCCGCGCGCGCGCTCTCTCGTGTCGCGGAGCTGCGCGGTCCAATCTCCGCTTTGCGATGAGAACGGGCACCCGCGCCGCTCGACTCGCCGCGGCGAGAAGCGGCGCTTGCCCAGAGACGACGATAGCGGCGTGAAGACACGTCGCCGAGGCGCCGCGCGACCGTCAGCCGCGGCACTGCGGGTCATGACCGCGCGCGCGCGCGCGCGTTACAAGTACCCATCAGTACACTGTAGATTTTCCAAATCAGGCCTCCGGACCCACCCACCCACCTCGTCGTGAGGTTCGAATCTTTTGTCCGTGGGCGGCTCGTGGGCAAAGCAGTCTGGGCGAGTCGTTCGCGCAATGCAGATCGCCCCACGCCTCCTCTACGAATTCATAACACGCCACTACCAGGGCAGGAACGACTTCCGCTGGGCCTTGGCCTCGGCCTTGCGGCGCTTCTCGCGCTCGGACTGCTTCTTGCGGAGCTTGTTCCAGGCCGCGATGGCCTTCTCGTCCTCCGCGTCCTGGAGCTTCTTCGCCTCGTGCTCCCCTGCGGCGGACAACGTCGCCCAAAAAAAACGCGAGAGGCGCCGGGCGACGCGCGGAGGGCCTTGGCGACGGCGACGCCCATGACGCACGCGTGCCGCGCGTTCTCGCGGTCGACGCGGCGCAGCCGGAGCGCGAGCTTCCGCGCCTAACAAAGAAACCGTCGGGAAACCACGCAAAAAAAGAATCCAACGCACCTCCTGGGCCCGCACGTCGTCGGCGGCCGGCGGCGTCGGCCGTCCCGCGGCGCGGTCGCGCTCGACGGCCACCGCGCGCTCGTCGAGGAGGCCCGCGTCGCCGAGCGCGGCCGCGAGGTGCTCGTTGGCCATTTCGGCGCCCTCGGGCAGGGGCGGCGCCAGCGCCGCGTCGGAGAGCGCCCCGGCGACGCGCGCGCGCAGGTCCTCCTCGTGCCGCCGCGGCTTCTTGACGTTCCGCAGCGCCGCCGCGGTCCCGGGCTTCGCGGAGCCCGGCCGCGGGTGCTCCGCGTGCCAGGCCTTGGACCGCTCCGCGGCCTCCTCGTCCGTGGCCGCGTAGGTCGCCGGCTCGCCGAAGACGTCGAGCGCGTCGCCGTCGCCGTCCGGCGGGAGCGCCTCGAGCGCGTCCGCGAGCGCGCCGTCCCCTAAACACCAGGCCAGCACCGTGGCCGCCGGGTCCTCGAAGGGTTCCCGCGCCGCCTCGTCGTCGGGCCGGAAGTCGCCCCTGACCGCGCGCTCGAGGCGGCCGAAGAGGCGGTCGTCGAGGACGGAGTCGTCGAACTCGGGCTGGCGGTCGATCCACTTCCAGAGGAGCGTCGTCGAGCCGCCCCGGGTCGAGTCCACGGGCGGGTACTCGGAGCTCAGGAGCGCCTCCTCGTCCCAGGCCTCGGGCCGGTCGCCGAGCCGCGCGGCCTCGGCCGCGGCCGCGTCGCGCGCGAGCACCGTCGGCGAGTCGAGCTTCAGGAGCGCGTAGAGCGCCGACGCGTGGCTGTTGGGCCGCACGTTGGCGCCGACGAGCCGGAGCCGCACGCGGAACTTGCGCCGCGGCAGCCCGTCCGCGGCGACGGGGCCGTCGCGCCGCCGCTTCTTCTTCGACCGGTGGTCCGACGCCGCGCGCGGCCGGCCGTCCGCCGACTCGACGCCGACGAGCTGCTGCGACTCGGCGTCGAGCAGCGCGCCGAGCTCGCCGTCGAGGAGCGCCGCGGCGCCGCCCGACCCGTCGAGGCGCGCGGCCTCGTCGCGCGCGACCGCGAGCGCCGGCAGCAGGAACTCGCGCCAGCGCTCGGCGAGGGCCCGCACGTGCCTCAGCTCGACGGCGACGTTGGCCTCGCGCTTCGAACGCGCGGCGTGCGACTTGCCGCAGGGCGCCGCCAGCAGCGCGCTCAGCGCCGCCAGCGGCGCCGCGCCGTCGAGGTCCGCGGGCACGCGCGCCAGCAGCGCCGAAACCTCCGACTCCGTCGCCGCCGCGTCCGCCGCTTCCGGTGACGTCGCCATTGGGCGCGGCTGGGTGTGCCGCTCAGAAAGGCATCATGTGTGCGATCGGGGCGCAGCAGCCGTGGGCTGCAATCTTGGGGCTGCTTGGGAAACATTGCGTTCAACAAACGCGATCGATTTTGTTGCAAGCCTCGACCTCGTCGACGACGGCGCAGGCGCAGGGCCGGAGCTGCGGCCCTCCCGCGGGCCATGGTCTACCGCCTCTCCATCACCCTGCACGGCCCCGAGGAGGAGGCGGGCACGGTGACGAAGTGCGCCGTCGACGGCCTCACCTACAACAAGATCCGCGCGGCCTACCCCTTCGCCGGCAGGTTCCACTTCCGCGTGAAGCGGCGCTTCGAGGGGTCGCACGTCTGGTGGGACCTGCGCGGCGACCCGGACGCGCCCGTCGCCGTCGACGACGCGTCGCGCGTCGAGCTCCGCGCCCTGTGCCTCGACGCGGCGGACCCGGCCTGGGACGGCCCCGTCGTCGCCGCGCGGGCCGAGGGCCGCGCCGACGCCGCGCGCGACTACATCCGCGAGAAGACGGAGCGCGCCAAGGAGAAGGCCGCGGAGCTCCGGGAGAAGGTCAAGGCGCACGAGTCCGTCCAGAAGCTCCAGTCCAAGGCGACGGAGATGCGCGGCAAGCTCTCGTCCCAGACCGCCAACGTCCGGGGCAAGCTGAGCCAGTGGCTCGACCGCTAATATGTTGTTCGCTCCATGGCGCTGGGTCCCAAAACCGCGCCGTTACTGGGGGAACCAGCGTCGAAACAGCGACGCGCCCCGCCGCTTCTCCATCTCGCGCGCGGTCTCGACGGCGACCCAGGTCACGGAGCTCTTCGCCGCGAGCTTGAGGATGAAGCCCTTGGCGAAGGGCGGCACCCAGCGCGGGATCTGGAAGTCCGTGGAGTAGTAGAGCCGCGTCCAGCCGCCGGCGAGCTTCTCGCAGTACCAGTAGCCCACCTGGTCCGCGACGTCGGATTTGCGCGTGTAGTCGAGGGAGAAGGACATCGCGTGGTTGAGCGGGTCGTAGACGTGCTCGACGTAAAAGTCGAGCTTCGTCATCGGCACGGCGATCTCGTACTTGGCGCAGGCCACGCGGCAGCCGCTGAGAGTCCACCCTCTTCGATAGACCTCGCACCGCTTCACGTCCTTGATCATGCGGTGGTAGTTGGGCCAGTCGCAGATGCGGCCGAAGACGACGTCGGGCGGCGCCTCGATGTCCTGGATGCCTACACGAACGACGAATCCACATGCCCCGTCACATGGCGGGGAACGAACCGATGGTCCGCTTGAAGCCGTTGGCCTGGGGGATGAGTTTCAGCGCGGGCGTGCCCGACCGGAGCTGCGCCTCCGTGATGCCTTTGAGAGTGACGCCGTACTTGCTCGGGTGCCGCCGGTCGTATTGCTTTAAGATGCCGGTGTGCGGGTGCGGCTCGATGGGTTTGCCGGCGACGACGGTGCACCCGACGGCGACGACGACGGCGCAGAGCGTCGCGGAGCTGCTGCGACCCATAGCACTATGTAGTGCACCTCGACGAGGTCAAAGGTTTCACCTGCCCCGGGGCTGCCTTGACGGTGCACTAGTGATCTGCGATGCGCTCGGATCTGAGTCAAACTCTGACTCTCATGTGCCAGCCAGCCTGACCGCAGCCTCGCCATGCGCGCGCTGCGCCCTGCTGCGACTTCGCAGCGCGAGCGTCGCTCGCCGCCACCAGCACCACCACGAGCCAGCAAAGCCACCAACGACCGCGCGCGGGAGAGCGCCTCCACAGATCCGCGCGCGCCGCACGAACCGCCCACGACGACCGCAGAGCACCACGCGGAAGAAGACGCCATTGAGCACCACCGCCGTCGCACGACCGCCGCGGAAGACACCGGCATCACCTAGGAAGACGCGACGGACGCGAAACGGTTCCGACGGCGGGACCCGATTTTTTATTGATTGATGACGCTCGGCGGCGCGCCGCGATTGCTGCCAGCACCGACGCTCGGCGGCGCGCCGTGACTGCGTTCCCTGTGACTCGTGCCGAGCGCGCAAGCCGCGGCCCTCGGCGCGTTCTTTTCTCGCGACGCGCCGTCGACGGCCGCGGACGTCGCCGCGTTCGCCGCGGCGACGGCACCGGAGCTTGCTCGGGCCATCGCGGCGGCCCTCGCCGCCGCGGGCCTGGACCCGCTGGACGCCGACGCGCCGTGGATGGCGCGCGGCGCCAGCTCCGCGGCGCTCGTCGCCGTCGCGGCCGCGCTCGCGAGGACGCTCTCGCGGGACGTGCCCGCGCTCGCGTGCTTCGACGCGCCGACGCCGCGGGCCCTCGAGGCGTCCCTCGCCGGGCGCACCGCCGCCCCTCCGGCCGACGGCGAACCCGAGTGATGTCGGTTCCTCCACTATCGCCCGCCGACGCTGCCCGCCGCGCTTCCCGCCGCGCTCGTCGGCGCCGAGGGCGCCGTCGCCGTCTCCCGGGCGCCGACCGCGCGCCGGCGCCTCGACGCCGAGGCCTACGGCGGCTTCGTGCCCGACGACCGGCTCCGCAGCGACCCGGCGGTCACGAGCGCCGCGGAGGCGGCCGCGACGGATCCGCAACATTTCGCGCTCCTCGAGGCCGCGTCCGCGGCGCGAGGCGACGTCGGCCGCGGCGCGGGCGTCTACGTCGGCGTCAGCGGCGCCGAGTTCGAAGGTTCAAGCGGCGTCTACGGCGCCGCGGGCGCCGCGCCGGCCGTCGCGGCCGGCCGCGTCGCGTTCGCGTTCGACCTCGCGGGCGCCGCGGCCGCCGTCGACGCGGCCTGCGCGTCGACGCTCGTCGCCCTCGCCGTCGCACTTAGAAACGAAAGCGACGCCCTGGTCCTCGGCGTCAACGCCATCCTCGCGCCCCGACTGCATCGCGCGTACGGCGCCGCGGGCATGCTCTCCGCCTCCGGCCGCTGCCGCGCGTTCGACCGCCGCGCGAGCGGCTTCGTGCGCGCCGAGGGCTTCGGCGCGGTCGCCGTGGCCGCCGCGGGCCGCGGCGTCGACTTCTGCCGCACCGCGCACGGCGGCCGCGCCGCGAGCCTCACGGCGCCGCGCGTCGGCTCGCAGGTCGCGCTCCTCCGCGCGGGCGCGGCCCGTCGGTGGACGGCGCTCGAGGCCCACGGCACGGGGACGCCCCTCGGCGACCCCATCGAGGTGGCGGCGGCGTGCGCCGTCATCGACCGTCGAGCAAGGAGCGATGCCGACGAGCTCGGCCGCGTCCCGGTCACCGCGTCCAAGGCGGCCGTCGGCCACCTCGAGGCCGCGGCCGCGCTCGCGGGCCTCGCGGCGGCGCTCGCCGACGGCGCCGGCGCCAACGCGGCGCTGGCGCGCCTCAACGGCCGCGTGGGCTTCGGCGCGCGGCTCGCGGCGCCCGTCGCGCGCGCGCCGCGGCCCGCCGGGCCCGCGGCCGCGAGCTCGTTCGGCTTCTCGGGGACGATCGCGCACGCGTGCGTCGCCGCGCCGGGAGGCGCGGGCCCCGAGGCCCGAGGCGCGGCGTCGATGCTGCGCGCGGCGCGGCTCTGGCTGCGCGTCCCGACGGCGGCGGCGCCCGCGGTCCGCGCGCGGCGGCGGCGGCGGCGGCCGTTCCGCGCGCTCGTCGTCGGCGTGCTCCGCGACGACGCGGCGGTCCTCCGGGCCCTGCCCCGGGTCGAGGTCGTGCGCGACGCGCGGGACCTCCGGGAGTCGACGAAGAACGTCGTCGTCGGCGTCGGCGACGCGGGCGCGAGGGAGGCGGCGCGGCTCGTCGCCCGACCGGAGCGTCGGGCCGGCCGCGTGCGCTACGCCGCGGCGATCCGCGGCCGCGCGCCGGGCGTCGAGGCCGCGGCGGACGCCGATGACCTCGCGGCCCGCGTCCAAAGCGCCCTGGCGCGGCTCCGGCGGCCCCCGTGCGCCGCGGCGCGCGCGCTCGCGGGACCGCCGGCGCGCGCGTTCGCGGTCGTCGTCGGCTCGGGCGTGTCGGGCCTCGCCTTCGCGCGCGCTCTGCATCACTACGCGGCCGTCGTCGTCCTCGAGCGCGAGGCCCACGTCGGCGGCGTCTGGCGCTCCCAGGCCAACGAGACGTCGCGCGTGAACACGTCCGAGGCCGCGTACCGCTGCCACGACGCGGGCGCGGGCGACGACGCGGACCACACGCCGGCCTGCGATATTCTCGCGAACCTGCGGCGCGTCGCCGCGACCTACGGCACCTTTTTATTTCGATCGCCGGCGGTCGCGTGCCGCAGCGCGGCCGGCGACCACGCGGTGCTCGTCGGCCCGTCGCGGCGCGTCGTCGCCGCGGCGCTCGTCTGCGTCTGCGCGAACCGGCGCCTCGGGCGCCTGCGGCGCCTGGCCTTTCCCTCGGAGGGCGCCTTCCGGGGCCGCGTCGCCTACGGCGCGGGCGACGACGCGGCGCGCGTCGACTTCCGCCGCGCGCGCGTCGTCGTCGTCGGCGCGGGCGCCTTCGCGACGGAGAACGCGCGCACGGCCCTCGAGGGCGGCGCGGCGCGCGTCGCCGTCGTCCAGCGCCGGCGCGGCAGCGTCTGCCCGCGCATCGTCGACTACCTGAACTTTTCGCGGCCGTACGACGGCGCGTTCGCGCACCGCGCCGAGGGCAACCGGCTCGTCTTCGCCGCCTGGAAGGGCGCCTTCGCCGCCTGCGGCGTGACCGAGCCTGAGTGCTGGCGCGCCGGCAGGCTCGCGCCCGCGGGGCACACGATCTCCGTGTCCGACGTCTGGCTCGTCGCGCACGCGTGCGGCTCGCTGTCGACGGCGCTCGGCCGCGTCGGCGGCGTCGGCCCCGACGCCGTGACCGTCGGCGCCGCGTCCATCCCCTGCACCGTCATCCTCAAGTGCGTCGGCTTCTGGAAGAACGCGGCGCTCCGGCGGCTCCTCGGGGCCAACGGCCTCGGCGCGAACAACGTCGTCCGCCGGGGCCTCTGCTACCAGGCCGAGGCGATCCTCGACAACGTCGGCGGCTACCAGAGCCCGTCGGGGAGCAGCTACGTCGAGGGCGCCCAGCTGTCCATCCTCCTCCTGACGGCGCAGCTGCGCGACGCGGGCACGGTCGAGGCCGCGGGCCGGCGGCTCGACGTCGTCGACGCGCGGGCCTCCGAGGGCCTCCTGGGCCTCGGCACGAGCCCCGGCGCCGTCGCGGCCCTCGGGCCCCGGTTCCTGGAGGCGGCGCGCGCCCGCGTCCTCCGCCGCTGCCTCGCGTTCCACGAGACGGCCCTCCCGGCGGCCTACGTCGCCGAGAACGCGCGCGACTGGCGCGCGCTCTTCGCGCTCTGCGGCGGCGCGGCGCAAGCGTACCCCTTTGCATCGCTCCTGGACGGCCTCGCCGGCGAGTGGGTCGACCCGGCGCTCGCGCTCGGCACGGCCGCGAGCCTCCGGGCGACGGCGCCGGACGTCGCCGCGCGGCTCGAGCGCTGGGCCGCGACCGTCGCGACGGCGCCGACGAGCGCCGCGCGGCCCCGCCGCGCGCCGAGCGGCGTGCCCGCGACCGTCGTCGAGTCCTGCGTCGCCTTCGTCCTCGGCACGGCCGTCGCGGCCGACGCGCCGCTGCTCGAAGCCGGGCTCGACTCGCTCGGCGCGACCGTCTTCGCCGAGACCCTCGCGCTCGAAGCGTCGGTCCAAGTGCCCGCGACGATCGTCTTCGACGCGCCGTCGCCCAGCGCCGTGCTCCGGTTCCTGTCCCCCGCCGCGGACGACGACGGGCCGGCGGTCCCTCTTTCGCGCTCGACGGCGGCGATCGCGCGCGCGGTCCTCCGCTTTCCCGGCGGCCGCCTCGTCCTCGGCCTCGTCGCCGCCGTGGCGGCGGCGTCGACGCACAGCCCGCGGCCGACGTCGGCGTCCTACGGCGCCTTCCTCCGCGCGAGCTTCGGAGCCGCGACGCTCGGGCGCGTCGAGGCGTCGACCGTCGACGTGCGCCAGCTCGCGCTCCTCGACGTCGCGGGCGCCCTCGGCCCGCCGCGGAGCGCGGGCGTCTACGTCGCGGCGCTGGGCTTCACGCGGCCCCGCGGCGGCGAGGCGCTCGAGCCGAACGCGTACTCGTCGACCGGCGACCTGCTCTCCGTCGCCGCGGGCCGCGTGTCGCACGCCCTCGGCCTCGAGGGGCCCTGCCTCGCCCTCGACACGGCCTGCTCCGCGTCCCTCGTCGCCCTGGCCATCGCCGCGGCGGCGCTGGGCCGCGGGACCTGCGCGGAAGCGGCCGTCGCGGCGCTCTCGGTCGTCGAGGCGACCGTGTCCGCGTCGCACGCGGTCGCGGGCCTCGTGTCCCCGCGGGGCCGCTGCCACGCCTTCGACGGCCGCGCCGACGGCTACTGCCGCGCCGACGGCCTCGCGGCCTACCTCCTCGGCGGCGACGGGCCCGACGACGTCTCGGGCGTCGAGGCGCGGCACGACGGCGGGAGCGCGTCGCTCGCGGCGCCCAACGGGTCGTCCCAGCGGCGGCTCCTGCGCTCCGTCGACGGGGCCACGATCGCTTTGGAGGCCCACGGCACGGGCACGGCGCTCGGCGACCCCGTCGAGGTCGG